TTCCTGCAAAAATGCCATCCCCTATTCCCAATTCCTTCGCCTCCGCCAAATCTGCTCCCAGGATGAGGCATTCCATTCCCGTACATCTTGGATGTCCTCGTTTTTCAAGGACCGCAACTTCCCCCCCCTCTGTGGTCGAGAACGCCCTCGACCGTGTCTCCCGCATTTCCCGCAACTCAACCCTCACACCCCGTCCCCGCAGTAACAAACAAAAAAGAATCCCCCTCATCCTCGCGTACCACCCCATCAACCTCCGGATCCAATGCATCATCCTCCGACACTTCCGCCATCTGCAATCCGACCCCACCACCAAAGACATTTTTCTCTCCCCACCCTTATCTGCTTTCTGGAGGGACCACTCTTTCCGTGACTCCCTTTTCCGCTCCACACTCCCCTCCAGCTCCACCACACCTGGTACTTTTCCCTGCAACCGCAGGAAGTGTTACACCTGCCCCCACACCTCCTCCCTCACCCCCATCCCAGGCCCCAAGAAGACTTTCCACATCAAGCAGATGTTCACCTGCACATCTGCTAATGTTGTATACTGCATCCGCTGGACCCGATGTGGCCTCCTTTACATCGGGGAAACCAAGTGGAGGCTTGGGGACTGCCTTGCAGAACACCTACGCTCGTTTCGCAATAAACAACTGCAACTCCCAGTCGTGAACCATTTCAACTCCCCCTCCCATTCCTCAGACAACATGTCCATCCTGGGCCTCCTGCAGTGCCACAACGATGCCACCCGAAGGTTGCAGGAACAGCAACTCATATTCTGCTTGGGAACCCTGCAGCCCAATGGTATCAATGTGGATTTCACAAGCTTCAAAATCTCCCCTACCCCTACCGCATCCCAAAACCAGCCCAGCTTGTCCCCGCCTCCCTAACCTGTTCTTCCTCCCACCGCAAGCCGCACCCCCATTTCCTACCTACTAACCTCATCCCGCCCCCTTGACCTGTCCGTCCTCCCTGGACTGACCTATCTCCTCCCTACCTCCCCACCTACGCTCACCTTTACTGGCTCCATCCCCGCCTCTTTGACCCGTCTGTTTCCTCTCCACCTATCTTCTCCTGTATCCATCTTCTATCCGCCTCTCCATCTCTCCCTATTTATTTCAGAACCCCCTTCCCCTCCCCCATTTCTGATAAAGGGTCTAGGCCGGAAACGTCAGCCTTCCTGCTCCTATGATGCTGCTTGGCCTGCTGTGTTCATCCAGCTCTACAACTTGTTACCCCTATTGTCACTTTGCTGCCCGTATACAACTGTGCTCTGGCTGGCTGCCACGTTTCGTAGTGTTTTAAAGGCACTTTTAGGTCTTGTGATTGTGCAAGATGCTATTTTATGGATGTTTTGGCGTGCAAAATTATTATTCTCCTCTTCAGCTACCTCGCTAATATTCCTGAGATCAGTGTCACTGTGCACACCATTTTCTCCAACAGAGGCCCTTTTTCTCATTCCTTGCTCCTACCCTTTTATCACTGCACACTCCTCAAGTCCACCGCTTCACCTTCTCCGCCCTACCACCCAGTGGTAGACTGGTACAAAAGGTGAAGTCACATGATATCAAGGGTGAGCTGGCAAGATGGATATAGAACTGGCTTAGTCACAGGAGATAGAGGGTAGCGGTGAAAGGATGCTTTTTGGAATGGGGGGGGTTATGACTAGTGGTGTTCCACAGGGATCAGTGCTGGGATCTTCTGAAGAAGAGTCCAGACCCGAAACGTCAGCATTCCTGCTCGGCCTGCTGTGTTCATCCAGCTCTACACCTTGTTATCTCTGCTGTTTATGATCTACATAAAAAATGGTTTGGAGGAAAGCGTAGCTGGTCTAATTAAGTTTGCGGACGATACAAAGAGTGGTGGAGTTGTGGACAGGGAAGGGGATTGTCAGAGGATACAGCAGGATATAGATCAGTTGGAGGAAGGGGCAGAAAAATGGCAGACGGAGTTTAATCCAGACAAACATGAGGTGATGCATTTTGGAAGGTCAAGTACAGTTGGAAATCATACAGTGAATGGCAGAACCCTCCGGAGTATTGATACGCAGTAGGATCTGGTTGTGCAGATCCACAGATCACTGAAGGTGGCAGCGCAGGTAGATAAGGTAGTAAAAATGGGTTATGGCATGCTGGCCTTCATGAAGGGGTATTGAGTATAAGGACAGACAAGTTATGCTGCAGCTTTTATAGAACTTCAGTTAGGTCACTCCTGGAATATTGCATACAGTTCTGGTCACCACACTATCAAAACGATGTTGATGCTTTCACGAGTGTACAGAAAAGGTTTACCAGGATAGTTGCCTGGTATCGGGGATTTTAGCTACGAAGAAAGGTTGGCTAGGCTGGGTTTGTTTTCACTGGAAGGCAGGAGATTGAGGAGTGACTTAATAGAAGTTCATAAAATTGTCAATGGCATGGATAGAATGAAAAGAGTGAGGCTTTTTCCTAGGGCGGGGTGGTCAGTTACTAGGGGACACAGGCTCAAGATGCAAGGAGGGAAGTTTAAAAGAGATGTGCGAGGCAAATTTTTCACACAAAGGGTGGTGACTACCTGGAATGCGTAGCCAGAGGAGATGGTGGAAGCAGACACAACAGCAGCATTCAAGAAACAACTGGACAAGAATGTGACTAGGAAGGGAATAGAAGGATACAGCTCCTGTAAGTGAAGTCGGTTTTAGTATGGAAGGGCAAAATGTGGTGGTGCAGGCTTTAAGGGCCTGTTCCTGTGCTGTATTGTTCTTTGTTCACCTGTTTTCACAAGTTTTGGAACTCCTCCACTTGTGCTTCAAGTTTGTCCTGCCTCTTCCTTTTTAATTGTGCTTTCTTTTGCTTACTATGTATGCACTCTGTCTCTCAACTGTCCATTCCCAGGTACAATATGCATGGAAGTTTAAAATATATATAGCTACATTTTGTTAAATGTGAAGAAAATTAGCAACAATTTTTCATGTCCCAAGCTTGTTGAACCTAATCAAGATTGGAACTAAATTTTGCAAGGTGATGGTGCCTGATCTGGGATGCCTTTCTTGAGAACATAGTGTACCCGACTATTGGCTGTTTCTTGAATTATGACACTTGGCATGTGAATACACTATTGTAGAATTATGCAGTGCAGAGGAAGGTTGTTTGGCCCATTATCTCTTTGAAAAAACTAGCTAATTAGTCTCACTCCCGACCCTCTTTCCCCACAGCCTGTAAGCTCTTCCTTCAAAGTATATATCTGATTTGAAGATAGCTTGCATGTGAAAATGTGACGCAGGTGAGGCTAATCTACCTTGCAATTGTGTGACATTGATTTGAAGAATTTGATCAAAATTTGGGATTAATGTCGTCCCACGGCATAAAACCTTTCCCATTTGCTACACCTCAGACTTACTGGAGTGTGCAAATGATTTTACTGAAAAAAAAAACTGGTGCTAGTAGCCAATTCTTGGATGTCTTTAGTGGAGTAAAAGGGCTTTATTTACAAATTCCAAACCTAGAACTAACTAGCTATAAGGACAAGGGCAACAGGTAAAGGGCAATACCGCTACCTACAAGTTCCTTTCTAGGTCACATTTCGAAATATATCGCTCTGTTTCCACTGTCGCAAGATCAAAATCCAAAACACACTCTTCCTACAGGGCTGTGGGTGCATCTGCACCCCAAAAGACTGTAGCTGTTCAAGAAGGTGCTTCACCACCACCTCGAGTTGTTAGGGACGAGCAATAAATGCTGGCCTAGCCACTGACACCCGCGTCACATTATAAAGCCATGTTGTGCTGGCTATGAGGAACGTGAGCTGGCAGGTGTTCTTTACTCAGCACTGGCTTTCTTTACTTCACTACGTGCTACATAATACTGAGGCATCCTGTGCATTTGAGGAGGTTGTACGTATGCAGAAGGACTTCTAGGTGTTTACTCAATGATGCCTTCTGTTATTCTAGGATATGTAATGCTCGAAATGTGAATATACATTTCAAATGCTTGCATTTTGCCTTTTGCAGCTGTTGACGTGGATTCCAGGAGGGAATGTGGGACAAGTTCGCAATTACTACGTGGACTGGCGAATGCTGCGGGATGTGAAAAGGAGGAAAATGGCCTTTGAGTACGCAGATGAGAGGCGACGACTCAATGCGATACGGAAAAATACCATCTTGCCTAAGGAACTGCAGGTGTGGACAGCTGGAGCAGGCTGAATTCAATATTGTGTTCATGCTGTGCTCTTAGGAGTAAGGCCCCCCTTTTTCAGGACTGGGAGTTTAGTCTATGCTTTGACTCTGGGTGGTGAGTACAACAGCGTCAATCGTACAATTGAGGTGATGCCAAAGGGAAATTAAGATGACAGTGTTTTAGATGATATGTAGTGGTGTCCAGTGCTTTCCCAGTGGCTGTATAAAGCGTTCCATCTTGTGTACTGAAATTCAAAGTTTTTATTGGCCACCTAGGTATCCTGAGAAGGCAACTGTGCACCTTCTCCTTGAGCCACTGCACTCCTTGCACAGATGCAGCTTCTATAACAGTGTTTGGTAGTAAGTTCTAGGATTCTGACTCATCTACAATAAATGAATGTGAATTTAGGTTTTACAGATTCACAGGTCTGTAGTTTCCAGGCTTCTCCTTACAGCCTTTATTAAACAATAGCACAAGTTTGCCAGTCCTCTGGTACTTCACCCATGTTTATAGATGATACAAATATTTCTGCAAGGGGCCCTGCAATTTCCTACCTAACTTTCCACAACATCCTGGGATACACTTGATCAGGTCTTTGAGATTTATCTTCCTTTATGTTTTCTAAGACCCCCAGCACTTCCTGTTCTGTAATGTGAAATGTTTTCAGAACATCAGTATTTATTTTCCTGAGTTCTCTAGCCTGAAGTATTACTTAATACCTCTTCCCATGTCAGACAACCGCTTTGATCCTTAAGGGGTCCTGCCGTCTCTCTAGTTGCTGTCTTGCACATAATGTACTTGTAGAATCCAGGATTGGTGTGCCCAAGGTCCTGTTGCTGTCTGTGTTACAATTGACAGGCTTGAAGCTTTCTGATGAAGGAAGCATTGTAGCTCAAGTGGACATAAATGTCTTGTGGTGTCAAAGTTCTTTCCAAATTTGGATTATTACTGTTAATTAGAGGACTCTGCTGCTTAGGTGAACAAGCAAATTGAGCCAATGCAGTAAGAGCATCACAGATTGTTAACATGGATGGGCATAATTGACAGTTCTTTGTTTTACTGTATCTTTTAATCATCTGTATGTCAACATGTGCATAAAGGCATCACTACACTTGAATAACTGAGATATCCATGGGGTGTTGGTGGGGCATGCTCTGATCATCCTAGCAGTTGGTGCTGCAGAGCATCAAAAGATGCCTGTCGTTCTGAAACAGAATGAGTGCAGATTGGTACCTGCCTTCCGTACAACATCTTCCACTAATTCCTGTGATAAGATGGAGGTCATTACAGCTGGGAGACACAGGCCAACATCAACACACTTGGCTCAAACACAGGGGCAGAAGTTACTCTGAGTTAGCTCACACTGCTCATCCCTTATTCACTGCAGTGAATAAGGTTCACAGTGAATAAGGCCGGGGTTCCTGATGTGTTTGGACATGGCATGCTGGTAGTACTTGAATAAAGCCAGAGGAGGTCAGTATTAATCAAATAAAGATTGAATACAGTTTAAAATTCTTCAACCAAATCTACAGCAAAGTTTTAAGTGAATGTAGAACTATACTGCGAGAAAGACGTCAATTTTACTGTCTGCAGAAGCTGGCAATGTTGTTTCTGGCCATTCTTCAGACCATACTGATTCAGGCCAGTGTTTGGAAACTGGTGACAGTGCTTCAGGCTAATCTGCAGGAGGTGATGCACAGATGGATTGAAGTGAAGGGCCTGTTTATAAAACTATTTTCAGACAAAGTACCTATCTGTAATTTTGGCTGTTGTATGTAAAACTTCAACACCACAAACGTACTTCCTGATTTCTTCTGTTTGATGGTTTGGGTTGAGAACAAGGCGGCATAACATCACAATTACAGCCAGGCCACTGAGGATTAATGTATGGGAGCACCTCCTTCATGAGTTCAAACCCTAGTACCCACTGATAGCAAGAAGTGATTCCCATGCACAGTAAGAAATAGCAATGTAAAGGGGAGCAATGTTTTATACCATTTAAAATGGCATCCGGAATCCTTGGATTTACAAGTAATGGCACTTGAAGGAGGTAATGATAAACTTGTATAAAACATTGTTCAGTTTCACCTAGAGTATTCTGTCCAATTCTGAGCCTAGGGATGGACATGAGACCAGAATTGGAGGAAAACTGAGATTTGAGGTAGAGGAAGGTATGGAGAAAGGGGAATAAAGCCATGAGAGAGGGTATTTGAATACAAGCCTTGCAGACTGAATATAGCCCTGTGAACTGGTGTTGTTTGAAATCGCAGTCAGTGAAGAGTGCTGCTGTCCTTCCTCACCACAGTATTGTCTTCATGCAGGAAGTTGCTGACCAGGAGATTGCTAGCCTACCAAGAGACAGTTGCCCGGTTCGGATCCGCAATCGCTGTGTCCTCACCTCTCGGCCGCGGGGCGTCAAGCGCAGGTGGCGCCTCAGCAGGATCGTTTTCCGCCATCTCGCTGACCACAACCAGATGTCTGGTATCCAGCGTGCCATGTGGTAGCGCCACAGCTTTCTTTTTTTTTTTTTTTGACACTTCCGGCATGAGCAACCCCAGCTGTGGGACTAGAGTAAAGAGCCTTGGACAACGAGTATCACATCACAGAGGTTCCCTTCTCAAATTGGGTGTTCTGTTTGGGGATGGGTTGTACATTACTACCATGTTACTACAGCAGCTACATGTCAGAAATCCTTCATTGGCAATGGAGTACTTTGAGCCATTGTCAGGTGGTAAAAGGGACTGAATAAATGCATGAGAGTCCTGTTGGAATGAGGGAGAAACTTGCCCTTCTGCCTAATCTCCCTTTCCTTGAGACTGTCACCAGGGTCTGACTACATACTCCTACCAAAATTACCCAAGTGGTTACTCTGAGATGGCTTGGCTAGTGAGCTCTGACAAAGGGAGCTATCATCAGGTGAGGTGATGGGCCAAATAGCATCCTATGTGAAGCAGCAATGCAAAGTTTTATCGAGTATATCGCACTTATGCCCGTACCCTGATGCTTCATTCGAGCTGTAAGCAACCACTTGTAATTAAAGTTGAGAAGTACAAGTAGTACCCCGCCACCTAGGATTTCTGACATTTTCTCATTTCATCCCCAGTATTGTGCCCCTCTATTTGTAGTTGAATGTTTGCTGTGAGTTTCTTTCAAGTTTTAATATACCCTATTTCTGGAGAAGACTGCTGTTTAAAGCAGCAGCAGGAGTCTGTTTGCAAGAATTGTACAAGTATCAATACTTGTGATGAGTGGCTGTAACAAATTCAAATGATTGAAGGACAATTTGCAGTCTGCTGTACAACATCCAACATTAAAATCCTCACAATAATAATTTAAAGGGACATCATTTTAAGGACATTAAATTTGGTGGTTTTGGAAAAGACAAGTTTGTATTTTTAACCATAACATTATGTGCATTTGATACAATACAGCAAAGTTTGTTTTAAGCGGTACCTTATAAACCGGTATGTTTGATAAACTGGCAAAAGTGATATACCTCAAATACCACAATCTACTATGATGTCTATGAATTTATGCTGTAAATAAAGTATAACAGTGATGTGTATACCTTCTGCATTACATTCTATTGCTTACTGTGTGCTTATACATTGATTTTAGGAGATCTGTTGATGTTTTGACATCGATTTTTCTAAGGGATGTTGATGTCATGAAATTTCACTTGGTCAGGGTTTACGTATCCTGAAAATTTAATCAACTATCACACTCCTGGTCCCACAGGTGCCAGTTAATAAAAGATTTGCTGTATATACTCACGTAGTCCATGACATGTTCGGTAGTGGATATTTTGTACAAAAGCACTTCTATCCTTAAAGTCTTTGTGATTCTCCTTTAACAGTGTCCCTTGAATATCTCAAAGTGCATTGCACTTGACCATTTTTCTGGGCTGCATAGTGGAGAATGGCAGGGGAAGTTATTTGCATTTAATCGGCAAATATTTACTCTTTGCCATTCTCCAAAGGTTACTTTTCTGTAAGGCTGAGTTTCCTATGGACATCACCTCTGTGTGACACAAAAAGCAGAAAGAAAGCAGCTGCCTGAGTAATGGTGGAGCCGCAGGATGTAAAATAAAATAGCCTGTATGACTCAATAAGAAGAGTTTTTCACTTGGAAGCCATCATTTCTCTCCCATTTCCCTGCACCGTCCCAATTTTCCCCCAGCCTTCCAATCACTCCCAGGGAAAATTCAGGCTTTGAAACTTTTTGTCTCACTTTCACTAAGTAAAAGTTTTTTTCAAGAACTCTTGATAATCTAAATTTCTTCACTTAACTCGCTTTAGCTTTTGTGTAGCCATGCTAGAAAAATAACAAAGGTACTCCTTTGCCCCTTTCCCTCAGTTTTTATGTTGTTGGGGGCGACAAGTGCCAAGTTTTTCTGAATGTTGGCTGCACCGTTTGGTCTTGACCAAAGGGAGGTATTTATTTTTCCCTGTTGGCTCTTTTCCTTGAGATGCTTTCAGACTCCAGAAACTGCACACTGCCGCATTTAATCGTGATGCTAGAGATGAGCAGACATTGTTTCATCTCATGTGATTTCAGTCTTTGTGTCTCAGCCTTTGACATTGTCTTTGACGTGGCTGTTGTGGAGCTAACCAATGCAGAATGGCACAATGGTTTTCTTTCACATTCCAGGACTCACTTTATAAAAAATTGCCCTTGTGTGTGGCTTGTCTGTAAAGCTTTGAAACTGGAGTGTGCTTTCTCTGCCAGCTGACGCTTAGAGCAAGTTTCCAAGTGTGGCTCCAAGTTCTACAGACACATTTCTATTTATAACTGGTCTGAGATGAACTACAAAATTACAGACAGCTCAGTAAGTAACAAAAATGTTAAAGCCATCTGAAATATGATATTTTCCAATTATGCAATCAATCTAGGGAATAGGATTTCTACATATTTTCAAAAACAATTTTAGAACTCCCACACTCTGCTGGCTGTAGCAGGGTTGTCAAGGTTGCCCTGAGGCTGTTACCATAAATAGTCAGTAGTGTACCACCTTGTCCTAAACAGACACATTCAGGTGATGAGATCAATCCAGGGAATTGCAACTGCTTGTACGTTGCGGGCTGCAATTGGAAGTCAGGCTGTCCAGTAGCTATGTGAAATCTTTTAGAATTGTGGTTATGTTTCCACTGGTGAGCATCACATGTGTCACACCACTATCAACAGGATGCAGCAGAGATTTTATTAGAATTGTACTGAACTGAGACTTGAATAGTGTGAAGAAACTGGGATTAGGGACAGGAGTTGACCATTTGGTTTCAAATCTGTTCTCTTGAAGATCATGTCTGATCTGTGGCCTACTTCCTTCCATATGCCCAGAGCTACACAAACCCCTGAATATTTTCTGCAAAACAAAGGAATTAACAGTTGACCCAGCTTTGTTTGCTGTTTGTGGTAGTGTTCAGAACTTTTACTACCCTTTAAGTGGAGAGGTGTTTGCTAATTCATGCCTGGATCTAGTATTGTAGTATCTGGACTGTGACCTGTAGTCTAGACTCCCCAATCAGTGAAAGCAGTTTCTTTTTATCATTCAATTATTCCTTTTGGTATCTTGAACACTGATCAAATCAGCCTGTAATCTAATTTCAGGGAATGCAACTCTGGTTTGTGTTTATCGTTTTAACCCTTGAACTCCAGCTATCATTTTGATAAATGCACTTTCACCAAGGTCTCTATGTCCTTCTTAAGGTTCAGAACTGAACACTGTACTCCAGGTGTTGTCTAGCTAGAGTTTTGTACAATTGTTGTATGACTTCCAAACCTTTTAAGTTGTAGTTCTCTCAACGTAAAGACCAGCATTCTATTTTGATTATTTTCTATATCTATTTGTGACATTTTAAAGATCTGATACCTGGCTCCTATATCTCCCTCTGGAGCTCCATTTATTTATAGTTATACATCATTTAGAAAGCGTCTTGGTCTATCCATCTGATGTCCAAAGTGGCTGAGTTCACACTTCCCTTGCAGAGTGTCAATTTGGCACAGTTTGCCTGGAAACTTAATTGTTTAATACCTGTTTGTAATTTATTTACAGCTTGTGGGTGTTGCTGCTATTTATTGTCTAACTGACAAAGTAGATGTTTACATTGAATTATATAGAATATACTGCATTGAAACAGGCCACAGTCCACACTGGTGTTTCAGTTCTGTGTTACCTCTGCTCCACTACTCTTTCTCTGCCTACGTTAACATATCCTGATTTTTCTTGCTGGTCCTCATTTTTCCCTTCAATCATTCTTGGTGGAAGTAAATCTCACATTCTAACCATTCTCTGGCTAAAAGTAAATTACTCTTCAATTCCCTGTTCTGTTTATTACCCGGATTAGGTCGACTCCACAAATAGAAGTATCTTTTCTACATTTACACTATCAAACCTCTTCATAACTGAAGACCTCGATTATGTCCCTTCCCTCTTAAGAATAAAATCCCCAGCTAGTTTGTTATTAAACCTGGAAACCTTTGTTTTTGCACATTCTCCAGTCCCTCTGTACCCTTTTCATAATAGAGATGAGATCTGTTAGTACTTTCAAAGGTATTGTAACCAAGATTTTACAGAAGTTTGACACACTTTGTTTTTCAGTTCTATCCCCTGTAGAATTAAATGGTATAGAGTCATACAGCACAGAAATAAACCCTTCGGTCCAACCAGTCCACGCTAGCCATAATCCCAAACTAAATTAGTCCCACCTGCCTGTGCTTGGCCCATATTCCTCCAAACATTTATTATCCATGTACATACCTAAATGTCTTTTAAATGTTACCTGTTCTGGAAGTTCATTCCAACACAAACCACACACTCTATGTTAAAAGCAAATTGTCCCTCGTCCTTTTTAAACTTTTCTCCTCTCACCTTAAAAATATGCCCCTTTGTCTTGAAATCCCCCACTCTAAGGAAAAGATACCTGCCATTCACCTTATCTATACCCCTCATGATTTTATAAATCTTCATAAAGTCACCCCTCAACTGCCTATGCTCCAGGGGAAAAAGTCCCAGTCTATTCAGCCCCTCCTTATAACTCGAACCCTCCATTCCTGGCAACATTCTGGTAAATCTCTTCTGAACCCTCTCCAGTTTAATAATGTCTTAATAATATCTAGTGCTTTGGTTTTCTTTCCCCCATTTTGGTCTTGGTTGTCAGCATTATTACTTTGAGTCCCTATGAGTTAAAAGTTCTTACCTAAATCCTAAAGTTCTTTGAAGTTGTTTTGTTACTGTCTTGTAAATATAGGAATCACATTAGCTGGTTTATTCTTAGGGCAGAGATGGTTATGAGGAGGTTTAGAGACATTAAAAATTATGATGGATTTTGTTAAGAGTAAGCAACGAGAAATTGTTTCTCCTGGCTGCTAGGTGGGTAACCAGTAGAAAGAGATTTCAGATCAAGAGCAAAGGAACCGGGGAGTTAAATGGAATTTTTTTTTACGCAGTGAGTTGTTTATAATCTGAAATGCATTTCTTAAAACAGTGGTAGAAGCAGATTCAATTGTAGCATTAACGAATTGAATTAATATTGTAAACAAAACATTTGTAGGTTTTTGGGGTGAGGAAATAGTAAGGACGGTGCATGTCATTTGGAGGGAGCAGTGCTAATTTAGACCGTTTGAGCCCTCGAGCCTCTTTTGCCATTCAGTTAGATCATGGTTGATATGCAGCCTAACTCATATACCTTTATACCATATTTTTTTTTCTACAGCATGGAAACAGGCCCTTCAACCCAAGCTGTCCATGCCATCCAGTTTTCACAAGTAAACTAGTCACATTTGCCTGCATTTGGACAATATCCTTCCATACCTATCCTATCTACGTACCTGTCTTAAAGCTTCTTAAATGGCGAAATTATACTCACTTTTGCCACTACCTCTGGCAACCTGTTCCAGATGTTCACCACCCTCTGTGTGAAGAAATTACCCCTGTGGACCCTTTTGAATCTCTCCCTTCTCACCTTCAACCTATGCCCTCTAATGTTGCTTCATCTTAAAACTAAGATTGGTATATTTTTGTCAATCAAACGTTTTGGCAATTTTAGCATCAATTGCTGCTTGTGAAAGATAGTTCTAAACTTGCACAACACATAGAGTGATATAAATCTTTCCTAATTTCGGTCCTGACAGGTCTGGATTTAATTTTCAGGTGGTGACGCCCTGCCCTCCTCAGTTCCAGACTCTCAAATGGCGTAGGTTAGTTAGAAACTACATATCTGCCCTCTAATATCTTAAAAGTTTTTGACCAAGTCACCTCTTAACCTCAGGAAGTACAGCCTTAGTTTATGCAATATATCCTTCTAAGTTATACTTGCATTCCAAGTTTCATTTTGATTAATTGGCAATGCGCTCCTCCTTTGCAGCTCCTGAGGCCCTTTCTCGGTCTCCAGTTCAGGTCTAACTAGAGCTTTGTATATTGGGAAAAACACTTCTAATCCCTTGTATTCTAGTTATCTAGGTATTTTTTTAAAAAAAGCTAATCTTTGTTTATTTTCAGTGTTTCTGCATTTTAATGAACCAAATATGTAAACTCTGCAGGTCATTTAAACGTCCATTGTTTCCGGC